CCAAAAGATATATTAGGCTTAAATTCATGATGTAGGTATTAATTAAATTATTAATTAAATAACCATATTTATTACATTATTATCATTATTATTATTTAGTATATTTAGTATATAAATATTGTATAAATAAGTATATTTTTATTATATAAATATTATCAAGATATACTGAAAATGTTACCAAATTTTTTTGAGTCATAGCAATTTTATTGTGAAAATTCTGATTTGCCAAATGAAATCTAACAGAGCATAAAAATATATAAGTTGGGGCACCTAGATGCGGTGTAATGGTTAGCAAGCTTGTCTCGCTAGAACAATTACGACTGAGTAGTGAGTTCGATCTTCACTTGATGCCTCCTACATTCGGGCTTGTGCCACATCTAAGCTACACATGAAAAATCGCTCTAAATATATAAGCTAAATATTTCTTATTGCTAGAAAAGATATTTTTCGTGCTTACACGTGTTTTTTGTTATCCCTGTTCTTTTATTATTTTCTTAATCCGTTAAATTCCTAACAAGAGATCTATTAAATATAAAGTCCCTCTCCTTCCAGGAATCGAACCTGAACCTCCTTTTCACCAGGGAAATCACTCCAATATCTAAATCGTATTGTTACTAATTTAGCTACAGAGGGCATATTTTTTAAGCAAAGTCCAATTTCCTGCTTAATTCATAAATCGGGAGGAATTTTTCTCTTCAATAGGAGTTCTCGATCCAGGCAACTCAAACGCGTGGACCCACTGAAAATAACCTTTGTAGTCATAAGAGATAATGGCCAATTAAAAATTCATTTAAAAATATATATCCTCAGGTAACACTTAAGACCTTTCAAAATTGATGGAGATGGGATTACGTAAAATACACATTTAAATGCTGAATGGAAATGTATATATATATATATATATATAGTTTTAAGGTGTACTATATTTATGGGATAAAGTGCTCAATATCAGAGATAGAGCGTATGTAAATATAAATATAAAAGGAACATTGAAGTCAACAGGCTGTTTCATGCTAGACGCATATATATATATATATATATATATATATATATATATATATATATATATATATATATATATATATATATATATATCTTCCGCCAGTTTATCATAATTTCTCAAGATTTTTTATATTCTGCTTTAGGTGAAATTCTAGGTAGATAATTTCTGGCTCAAGATTTTTTTTTTTTTTTTGCTCTTACGTAGATTTTTTTTTTCTTTTCTTTTTGCCTATTTGTTACTCGATTTTTTTCTTTTTTGCCTTTTTTTTTTTTTTTTGCTATTACGGTGTTAGGCGATTTTTTTCTTTTTGAACAGGCATTTTTTTTTTTTTTTGCCTAGGCATTACGGTGTTAGTCGATTTTTTTTTTTTTATAGGCATTACGGTGTTAGGCAATTTTTTTTTTTGCTTTTGCCTTAGGCATTACGGTGTTAGGCGATTTTTTTTTTTTTCATTACGGTGTTACGATTTTTTTTTTTTTTTATTAGGCATTACGGTGTTACGGCAATTTTTTTTTTTTTGCCTAGGCATTACGGTGTTAGGCGATTTTTTTTACATTACTTTTTTTTTTTTTATATTACATTGTTGGTTTTTTTTTGCCTGCGATTTTTTTTCTTTTGCCTAGGCATTACGGTGTTAGGCGATTTTTTTTTTGCCCTAGGGCATTACGGTGTTAGGCTTTTTTTTCTTTTGCTAGGCATTACGGTGTTAGGCGATTTTTTTTTTGCCTAGGCATTACGGTTTTTTTTTGCCTCATTACGGTGTTAGGCGATTTTTTTTTTTTGCCTAAACATTACTGCATTACGATTTTTTTCTTTTGGCACATTTTTTTTTTTTCTTTTGCCTAGGCATTACGGTGTTAAGCGATTTTTTTTTTTTGGTGTTAGGCGATTTTTTTTTCTTTTGCCTGGGCATTACGGTGTTAGAGCGATTTTTTTTTTGCCTACGGTTTTTTTTTTTTTTTTTTTGTTAGGCATTACGGTGTTAGGCGATTTTTTTTTTTGCCCCTTTTGCAGGATTTTTTCTTTTTTGCGATTTTTTTTTTTGTTAGCATTTTTTTTTTTGCCTAGGCATACGGTGTTAGGCGATTTTTTTTTGCCTAGGCATTACATGGTAAGCGATTTTTTTCTTTGCGATTTTTTTTTTTTTTTGCCTGGGCATTACAGTGTTAAGATTTTTTTTTCTTTTGATTTTTTTTTTTTTTTTTTGTCTAGGGCATTAGGCATTTTTTTCTTTTGTTAGGCGATTTTTTTTTTTTTTTGCCTAGGCATTACGGTGTTAGGCGATTTTTTTATTTTTCCTTTGGAACATTACGGTGTTAGGCGATTTTTTTTTTTTTTTGCTAGGTGTTAAATTTTTTTTTCGACCTACTCAGAATGTTTTAGTCTTTTCTTTTTTCTTTTTTTTTTTTTTTTGACACTTTTTTCTCCTCAGATACCAGATTTTTTATTTTGGAAATTTTACTATCCTGTTATTTTTTTACCTGTGTGTGTGTGTGTGTGTGTTGTGTGTGTGATTTTTTTTTTTTTTTATTAGGCATTACAATTAAAGGGAAAAAATTTAGGTTAAAAAAAAAACGAGCTATTAATGGGTTTCCCTCTTTCAACAGATCTAAATAAACGTTAATAAAAGTATGATCATCAATAAATAGATGGATTTTTTCTTTTCAAGAAAGAAATATATATGGCCACCATTATTCTTAACTTGTACACACACACACACACACATATATATATATATATATATATTTTTTTTTTTATATATATATATATATATATATAATCCGCCAGTTCATCCTGAAAGATCTTTACTTTCTGTTTTTTTTTATATTCTGCTCTGCGATTTTTTTTTTGACCTTTTGGAAATGTTAGGCATTACGGTGTTAGGCGATTTTTTTTTTTTTTACGGTGTTAGGGCAATTTTTTTCTTTGCTAGGCATTATTACGGTGTTAGGCGATTTTTTTTTTTTGCTTTTTTTTTTTTGCCTTTGAATAGGCATTACATTACGATTTTTTTTTTTTTGCCCTGAGGCATTACGGTGTTAGGCGATTTTTTTTTTTTGCCTAGGCATTACGGTGTTAGGCGATTTTTTTTTTTGCCTAGGCATTACGGTGTTAGGCGATTTTTTTTTTTGCCTAGGCATTACGGTGTTAGGCGATTTTTTTTTTTTGCCTAGGCATTACGGTGTTAGGCGATTTTTTTTTTTTTTTGCCTGGGCCTAGGCATTACGGTGTTAGGCGATTTTTTTCTTTTTTTTTTGCCTTTACATTACGGTTGCAATTGTTAGGCGATTTTTTTTTTTTTGCCTAGGGCATTACGGTGTTAGGCGATTTTTTCTTTTGCCTAGGCATTACGATTTTTTTTTTGCCTGGGCATTACGGTGTTAGGCGATTTTTTTTTGCCTTTTGCCTGGCATTACGGTGTTAGGCGATTTTTTTTTTTTGCCCTAGGCATTACGGTGTTAGGCGATTTTTTTTTTTTTGAGCATTACGGTGTTAGGCGATTTTTTTTTTTTTGCCTAGGCATTACGGTGTTAGGCGATTTTTTTTTTTTTTTCTAGGCATTACGGTGTTAGGCGATTTTTTTTTTTTTGCCTTAGGCATTTTTTTTTGTTAGGCGATTTTTTTTTTTTTTGCCTAGGCATTACGGTGTTAGGCGATTTTTTTTTTTTGCCTGAGCATTACGGTGTTAGGCGATTTTTTTTTGCCTAGGCATTACGGTGTTATTTTTTTTGCCTTTTTACCTAGGCATTACGGTGTTAGGCGATTTTTTTTTTTTTTTTTTGCCTAGGCATTACGGTGTTAGGCGATTTTTTTTTTTTTGCGATTACTCGATTTTTTTTTTCTTTTACTAGTCTTTTCTTTTAGGCGATTATTTTTTTTTTTTTTTTTTGACACTTTTTTTTTTGCCTCAGATACCAGGTTAAATATTTTTTTATTTTGGAATGTTTTAGTATCCTTTTTTTTTTTTTTTTTTTTTTTTTTTTCAGTATAAGTACCAGGTTAAATTAAAATAAACCCTAATTTTTATATCAGTATAAGTATTAAAATAAACCTAATTATATATATGTGTGTGTGTGTGTGTGTGTGTGTGTGTGTGTGTGTGTGTGTGTGTGTGTGTGTGTGTGTGTGTGTGTGTAGATTTTATTGGTGCTACAAAACTTAATTATCGCCATAGACAAAATTTACCAATGATGATAACAATTAAAGGGAAAAAAATGAAAAACGAGCTAGCTAATGGGTTTCGAACCTCTTTCAACAGATCTAAATAAACGTTAATAAAAGTATGATCATCAATAAATAGATGGACAGGTAGGGGAAAAATTTTTAAATGGAAATTAATTTGAGGCCCAGTACAAAATCCTTCTGTTTACATAATGAAGGTTTCAAGAAAGAAATATATATGGCCACCATTATTCTTAACTTGTACACACACACACACACACGCATACATATATATATATATATATATATATAGAGAGAGAGAGAGAGGGGGGAGAAGTGGTGCACAGATAGGTCTTCCCTGAGAATTAACATTTATAAAATATAAAATTATTCATATATTTCTTTTGTTCCCTCGTTCGTCGATGTCTTCCTATACAGCCTGAAAGCTGAAAGTTTTACCTTTCGACTTTCAAGCTATTCAGTCTGTAAATTATTTGCCTATCAACTGTCTTGGCAACGACAATGGACGCCTCTTTTTATTTGTTTTTCAGTCCATCTCCTGAACAAGTGGCTCCTTCACATTATTTTTTTTTTTTACTCGTTTTGCTCTTTAATTCAGAAATCGTATCCACCAGATATTTGATTCCTACTTTTTTCTCTGTCGTGATTTCGTATAAATAGTAAAAGCAGCAGACCAGAGAACGTATGATCAGAGACTTTAGCATAAATTTTATAGAAATAAACGTTCCTTTATAAATACATTTAAAGAAAAGAAAACGACTTCGCATTCAAATGTAAACTAACAAAAAAAAATCTTTTATTCAATCTCCTGCAGAAGCGAAGTGTGAATTCTTCGTTTTCCATGAAAACCGACTTTTGTTTATTTGCCATTTATTCTTTGTATTTGCCTTTGTTAGCTTCCTATCTTTTTCGTTTCTTTATCTTTTTTCTTTTTCATTGTCTTTCTTTCTTTTATTTTTCTTTCCTTTTTGAATTTTTTCATTTTTTTCCCCCACTATCCACTTTCTGCGTCCTTTCTTTCTTTATCGGAATTTTGAATTTTATTGCCTCATAAAGTTCCTTTCACACAACTTAAGCGTTTCATTTACTCTTTTTTTAAAACTTTAATTGTTCTATTTACATCTTCGTCTACTGCAATTAAGTTGGCAGTTCTATTTTTCCATCCCTTAGAGAACATTTCTTGTAATTATTGTCGTTGGTTTGATCCATGGGCAAGCGTACAGAATAGCTACAAAATTGCCTGTTGCAGAAGTTTTCTCTTATGAAAAGATAACATTAAAATACCTAATCTACGCTTTATACCGTTCAGGCCCATTCAGAATGAAAAACTTTTGGAAAATGATCAGTTCGAATAATTTTAAAACCTTTTACCATGACATTCGTTTTGTCACGTTCTCTCTTCTTGGATCTTTTGTAACTCCTTTTTATATCTTCTTCATAACGCTTTTTTGTATGTTCTTTAAATGCTTCTTGTATCTTCCTTGACTTCTTTTTATATCTTCTTCATAACGCTTTTTTGTATGTTCTTTAAATGCTTCTTGTATCTTCCTTGACTTCTTTTTATATCTTCTTCATAACGCTTTTTTGTATGTTCTTTAAATGCTTCTTGTATCTTCCTTAACTTCTTTTTATATCTTCTTCATAACGCTTTTTTGTATGTTCTTTAAATGCTTCTTGTATCTTCCTTGACTTCTTTTTATATCTTCTTCATAACGCTTTTTTGTATGTTCTTTAAATGCTTCTTGTATCTTCCTTAACTTCTTTTTATATCTTCTTCATAACGCTTTTTTGTATGTTCTTTAAATGCTTCTTGTATCTTCCTTGACTTCTTTTTTATATCTTCTTCATAACGCTTTTTTTATGTTCTTTTAAATGCTTCTTGTATCTTCCTTGACTTCTTTTTATATCTTCTTCATAACGCTTTTTTGTATGTTCTTTAAATGCTTCTTGTATCTTCCTTAACTTCTTTTTATATCTTCTTCATAACGCTTTTTTGTATGTTCTTTAAATGCTTCTTGTATCTTCCTTAAACTTCTTTTTTATATCTTCTTCATAACGCTTTTTTTGTATGTTCTTTAAATGCTTCTTGTATCTTCCTTGACTTCTTTTTATATCTTCTTCATAACGCTTTTTGTATGTTCTTTAAATGCTTCTTGTATCTTCCTTAACTTCTTTTTATATCTTCTTCATAACGCTTTTTTGTATGTTCTTTAAATGCTTCTTGTATCTTCCTTGACTTCTTTTTATATCTTCTTCATAACGCTTTTTTGTATGTTCTTTAAATGCTTCTTGTATCTTCCTTGACTTCTTTTTATATCTTCTTCATAACGCTTTTTTGTATGTTCTTTAAATGCTTCTTGTATCTTCCTTGACTTCTTTTTATATCTTTTTCAACTCCTTTTTACATCTTCATTAACTCCTCTTTGCATTTTCCTTAACTCCTTCTGGCATCTTTCTTAACTCCTTGTTGCATTTTCATTAAATCATTTTTGCATCTTCCTTAAACCCTTTTTCTATTTTCTTTAACTCCTTATTGCATTTTCCTTAACTCGTTTTGGCATCTTTCTTAACTCCTTTTTGCATTTTCATTAAATCATTTTTGCATCTTCCTTAACTCATTTTCTATTATCTTTAATTCCTAATTGCATTTTCCATAATTCCTTTTGCCATATTTCTTAACTCCTTTTTGCATTTTTATTAACTCATTTTGGCATCTTCCGTAAATCCTTTTTCTATTTTCTTTAACTCCTTGTTGCATTTTCCTTAACTCCTTTTGGCCTCTTTCTTAACTAGTTTTGCATTTTCATTAACTCATTTTTCTATTTTCTTTAACACCTATTGCATTTTCCTTAACTCCTTCTGGCATCTTTCTTAACTCCTTTTTGCATTTTCATTAACTCATTTTGGCATCTTCTTTAACTTGTTTTCTATTTTCTTAAAGTCCTTTTTGCATTTTCATTAACTCCTTTTTGCCTCCTCCTTACCTTTTTTTCTATCTTTTTAACACTTTTTTGTAATTATTTACACCTTTTTTCTATCTTCTTTAACTCATTTATCTATTGTCCTTTAATACCTCTCTTCTCTACCTTCTTTAGATAACGTAACAAAAAGATAGTCTTCAGCATCTCGGATTCGGGCTTAGGCAGTTTGTGACAGATTTTTAGAGTACACAAATTTTATTTTGATTTTAATCACTGACTACTTGTAACTTAACGGACATAACCAGCCAATGAAATTGCTCTGCTCTCCTAAACCTTGAATAACACTCGAAATTGAAAGATCATTCATATCGTAAAAGCTTAACATTTTTGCTGTAGTAAAATGTGCTTTTTCTCAAAATACTTATCATCTTACAGTAATTTGAAGTAATATATAATATATACAGAATAGATTTTTTTTAAAAGCCTGTAAAAAATTATAAATTAATGCAGTAAATAAATATAAATATATGTAGGAGATTACGATAAAGAGTGTGACATACATGTAAGTACGCCATTACATTTTCGGTTAAATATCCATTCGGTTAAATATCTGTCGGCCAAATATCCGTCGGCCAAATATCCGAGTATCTAGACTTCCTCTTCTCATCTTTTAGAAACAGTGTTCCATGCCGGTTACATCGATCTATTAGAGCAACAATATCGGTCAATAAAATTCCACATGTCTGGCTAGGACCCGAATACAGAAACGTTTCTAATCTCATCAGGATTGCAACAAAGAAGAAATGAAAACCCCAGTCTATTTAATCTTTTCTTGAACTATGCCATGCAAATTTACAAACACTGATGTGAAAATATGTGCACTGGTTATTTAAGCATTCTATACCACATCCCAAAGGAATCTACTAATGGAAGACAGCGATCCTGCTTATCCCTCCCAAGGCCAATAGATTGATGATAGGTATCCATAATTCGGATGAACAATAATATAAAACAAAAGAGCAAAATATACGGATCATGATAAACCTTTCCCACCAAAAAAAGAAACTATGATCTGGAATTGGAATGAAAGCCGTGACGTCACCTATCCTGAATCAGTGGCGGAGCTAGTGTTTTGCCGCCCGGGGTGGCCCTCAAGTTCGCTGCCCATCTCCGGAAGGAATACAATATTACAATTTACATTAACCCTTAAGTTTATATATATATATATATATATATATATATATATATATATATATATATATATATATATATATATATATATATATATATAAAAAAATTTTGAACTAATATTCCATGGTTATAATTTATTATATTGGAATCGTAATTAAGATCCAATTCATCAGACCTACAAAATCAAAAGGAAATCGGAAAAAAATTTTTTAGTGAGAGTGTATGTATGGATGTTGGAGACAAGTGTGAAAAGGAAATGAAAGCTTTAGAGAGGGGTAAAAAACGAAAGAAGAACAGGAAGGCCTAAAGGTGAAGGGGGGAACTAACCTTTAACAGAGAGAAGTTTTAAAGAGAGTTGTTAAATAGCGGTTTAAATTAGTGAGATGCAAATAAATATGATGCAATTCGCTACTGATTCGCTGACCTAAAATTAAATTAAAAAACTGACACCGGAAACGTGTGTATACATTTGTGGTGACACTACGCACAATAAAAAACGATATGATCTAAACTTAGAATCCAGAAGATGAGAGAGATAGAAAGAAGAAAGATATATATATATATATATATATATATATATATATATATATATATATTTATTATTTATAAAAAATTATAACATAAGTATGTTATAAAATCACTTTTGTTTCAACACACTCAGTGTCTTATCAAGTGATGATGTTGAGATCATTTACATCATCACCCTGTTTGTACGCTATATATAATATAATATTTGCGTGTCAAAATTCATTTGTGCCTATTGAGCACTATCTTAGTATATATAATTTTATATATATATATATATATATGTTATAGTATTATATTTTGGTTATACCCGGATTATATACCAATGTATATACATATTGTTAAAATATATATATATATATATATATATATATATATAAACATTTTCACAAATATAATATATATATCAGCCACAAAACATATATATATATCACACAATCTATATATATATATATATATATATATATATATATATGACTCTTACAAACACATACATTTTTTCTCTTGTTTTCATGTTTATATTTACATACACATTTTTTTTCACGTAATATATACATAAAATAAACGCACATCTCCATATTTTTTCACACATTCAACTAAACAAATATACAACGTATCTATATAAATGTATCCAAAATGTTTAAGCCATTTTATTATATTCTTACTCTGTCCTGGACATTTGTTATTACCTGGATTCTATCCACTTGTAAATTTCTATATATATATATATATATATGTATATATATTTATTTATATATTATATATATATATATATGTATATATATATATATATATTACTGAGTTCTCTCTCTCGTATATATATATATATATATATATATATATATATTTTTCTTTTAAAAGTATTCATTCCAATGACAATTTTAATATTTTTTCCATTCTCAAATCTAATGCTCGTATGATGCCAGTTTTTCAGTGTTTTGTTATTTTATCTTTCTTACTTGTTTTCTTTCCCTCATTTTTACTAATTCTTTCCTTTTTTCTTTTCTCTTTTTACTTTCTTTCTCTTATTTTTTCTCTTTCTTACTTGTTTTTTCCCTCATTTTTCTTCTTCTTTCCTTGTTCCTTTTTTTTCTTTTTCTTTTCTTTCATATTTTTTTTCTCTTTCTTACTTTTTTTCCCTTCATTTTTACTTCTTCTTTCTTGTTTCTTTTCTCTTTTTGCTCTTTCTCTTATTTTTTTCTCTTTTCTTACTTGTTTCTTTCCTTCATTTTTTTTAATCTTCTTTCCTTTCTTTCTTTTTCTCTTTTCTTCTTTCTCTTATTTTTTCTCTTTCTTTTTTTTCTTTCCTTCATTTTTTCTTCTTTTCTTTTCTTTTTCTTTTTCTCTTTTTCTTCTTTCTTTTTTTTTCCCTTTCTTTTTTTGTTTCTTTCATTCATTTTTTACTTCTTCTTTTCCTGGTTTTTTTTTCTTTTTCCTCTTTCTTTATTTTTCCCTTTTTTTTTTTTTTTTCCTTCTTTTTTTTCTTTCCTTTCCTTGTTTCTTTTTTTTTTTTCTTTCTTTTCTTTTTCCTCTTTCTTATTTTTTTCTTTCCTTCTTTTTTCTTCTTTGGTTGTTTCTTTTTCTTTTTCTTTCTCTTTTTTCTCTTTTTCTTTTTTTCTTTCCTTCATTTTTTCTTTTTTTCCTTTTTCTTTTTCTTTTTTCTTTTTCTTTTTTTTTTTCTTTCTTCTTTTTTCCTTTTTTTCTTTTCTTTTTTTTCTTTTTCTTTTTCTTTCTTCTTTTTTTTTTCTTTTTTTTTCTTTCCTTCATTTTTTCTTCTTTCCTTGTTTCTTTTCTCTTTTTCTTTCTTTTATTTTTTTTTTTTTTTACTTTTTTTTCCTTCATTTTTAATTTTTTTTTTCTTTCTTTTTTTTTTTTTTCCTCTTTCTTTGTTTTTTTCTTTTTTTCTTTTTTTTTCCTTCATTTTTTTCTTTTTTTTTTCTTTTTCTTTTCTCTTTTCCTCTTTTCTTTTTTTCTCTTTCTTACTTTTTTTTCCTTCTTTTTTTTCTTCTTTCCTTTTTTTTCTTTTTCCTCTTTCTTTTTTTTTCTCTTTCTTTAAAGTCTTTCCTTTTCTTCTTCTTTCCTTTTCTTTTTCTTTCCTTATTTTTTTTTTCTTTTCTTTTCTTTTTCTTTTTTTCTTTTTTTTTTTTTTTTTTTCCCTTCTTTTTTTTTCTTCTTTCCTTTTTTTTTTTTCTTTTTTCTTTTCTTTCCTTTTTTTTTCTCTTTTTTCTTTTCTTTTTTCTCTTTCTTTCTTTCCTTCTTTCCTTTTTTTATTTCTTTTTCCTTTTTTCTTTTTCTTTCTTTTCTTTTATTTTTCTCTTTTTACCTGTTTCTTTCCTTCATTTTCTTTTTCTTTCCTTGTTTCTTTTCTTTCTTTTTTCTTTTCTCTTATTTTTTTTCTCTATTTCTTTCTTTTCCTTCATTTTTTCTTCTTCTTTCCTTGTTTCTTTTTTCTCTTTTCCTCTTTCTCTTATTTTTCTTTTTTTTTAAAATTTTTCCTTCATTTTACTTCTTCTTTCCTTGTTTCTTTTTTCTCTTTTCTTCTTTCTTTTATTTTTTTCTCTTTTCCTTTTCTTTTTCTTTCCTTCATTTTTTTTCTTTCTTCTTTCCTTTTTTCTTTTTTTTTCTTTCTTTTATTTTTCCTTTCTTCCTTTAAACCCTTCCTTCATTTTTACTTCTTTTTTCCTTGTTTCTTTTCTCTTTTCCTCTTTCTCTTTTTTTCTCTTTCTTAATTCTTTTTCCTTTTTTAACTTCTTCTTTCCTTATTTTTTTTTTTCTTTTTCTCTCTTTCTCTTTCTTTTTTTTTTTTTTCCTTCATTTTTTTCTTTCTTTTCCTTTTTTTTTTCCTCCTTTCCTTTTTTTTTTTTTCTCTTTTTATTTTTTCTTTCTTTTTTTCTTCTTTCCTTATCTTCTTTTTTTTTTTTTTCTCTTATTTTTTTTTCTTTTTTTTTTTTTTTTTTTCTTTTTTTTCTTTTTTTTTCCTTTTTTCTTTTTTCTCTTTTTTTTCTTTTCTTTCTTCTTTCCTTTTTTACTTCTTCTTTTCCTTGTTTTCTTTTTTTTTCTTTTTCTCTTCTTTTTTCTCTTTTTCTTTCCTTCTTTCTTTTTTCTTTCATCTTTCCTTTTTTTTTTTTCTTTCTTTTCCTTTTCTTTTTCTTTTTTTCTTTTTCTTTTTCTTTCTTTCTTCTTTTCTTCTTTTTTTCTTTTTCTTTTTCTCTTTCCTTTTTCTTTTTTTTTCTCTTTTTTTTTATTTTTTTCCCTTTCATTTTTAATTTCTTCTTTCCTTTTTTCCTTTCTCTTTCTTCTTTTCTCTTCTTTTCTTTTCTCTTTTCTTTTCTCTTTTTTTTTTTCTTTTTTGTTTTTTTTTTTTTTTTCCTTTTCTTCTTTTTTTCTTTCTTTTCCATTTTTTTCCTTTTTCTTTTTCTTTTTTTTTTTTTTTTTTCTTTTTTTCTTTTTTTTTTTTTCTTTTTCTTTCTTTTTTTTCTTTTTTTCTCTTTTTCTTTTTTTCTTTTCTCTTTTCCTCTTTCTCTTTCTTTCTTTTTTCTTTTTTTCTTTCCTTCATTTTTCTTTTTCTTTCCTTTCTTCTTTTTCTCTTTTCTCTCTTTCTTTCTTATTTTTTCCCTCTTTTTTTTCTTTTTCCTTTGTTTCTTTTTTCCTTTTTTTTTTTCTTTCTTTTCTCTTTCTCTTATTTTTTCTTTTTTTTCCTTTTCTTTCTTTTCCTTTTTTTTTCTTCTTTCCTTTTTCTTTTTTCTTTTTTCCTCTTTCTCTTATTTTTCTTTTCTTAAATTTTTATTTCCTTTTCTTTTTTTTCTTTCTTTCCTTGTTTTTTTTTTCTTTCTTTCTTTTTTTTCCTTTACTTCCTTTTTTTTCTTTCTTTTCTTTCATTTCTTCTTTCCCTCATTTTTCTTTCCTTTTCTTTTTCCTTTTTCTTTTTTTCTTTTTTTTTCCTTTCTTTCTCTTTTTTTCCTCTTTCTCTTTTCTTTCTTTTCCTTTTTTTCCTCAAAACTTCTTCTTTCCTTGTTTCTTTTTTTCTTTTCTCTAACCTTTTTCTTATTCCTTTTTTTTTTCTCTTTTCTTTTTTCTTTCTTCTTTTTTACTTTTTTCTTTCCTTTTTTCTTTTCTCTTTCCTCTTTTTTCTTTTTTTTTTCTTTTCTCTTACCTTTTTCCTTTTCCTTTTTTTACTTCTTTTTCCTTTCTTTCTTTTTCTTTTCCTCTTTCTCTTTTTTTTTCTTTTCTTTTTTCTTTTTTTTTTTTTTTCTTCTTTCCTTTTTTCTTTTTTTTCTCTTTTCCTCTTTTTCTTTTTTTCTTTCTTTTTTTTTTCTTTTTCTTTTTTTTTCTTTCCTTTTTCTTTTTTCTCTTTTCCTCTTTCTCTTTTTTTTTTTTTTCTTTCTTTTTTTTTCCTTCATTTTTTCCTTCTTTCTTTTCTTTCTTTTTTTCTTTTTCTCTTTCTCTTTTTTTTTTCTCTTTCTTTTTGTTTTTTTCCTTCATTTTCCTTTTCTTTTCCTTTTCTCTTTCTTTCTTTCTTTTTCTTTTTTCTTTTTTTACTTTCTTTTTCCTTTTTTTACTTTTTTCTTTTTTTCTTTTTTTTTCTTTTCTTTTCCTTCTTCTTTTTTTCTTTTTCTTTTATTTCTTTCCTTTTTTTCCTTTTTTTCCTTTTTTTTTTTCTTTTCCTCTTTCTCTCTAACCTTTTTTTCCTTCTTCCTTTTTCCTTTTTCTTTTTTTTTTTCATTTCTTTTTTCTTTTTTTTTTTTTTTCCTTTTCTCTTTTTTCCTCTTTCTTACTTTTTCTTTTTTCCTTTCACTTTCTTTTTTTTTCCTTGTTTCTTTTTCTCTTTTCCTCCTTTCTCTTATTTTTTTCCTTTTCTTAACCTTTCTTTCTTTCCTTCTTTTTTTTTTTTTTTTTTCTTTCCTTTTTCTTTTTCTCTTTCTTCCTTTTTTCTTTTTTTTATCTTTTCCTACTTTTTCTTTTCTTTCCTTTATTCTTTTTTTTTCTTCTTCTTTTCTTTTCTTTTTTCCTTTTTCTCTCTTTCTTTTCTTTTTTCCTCTTTTCTTTCCTTTCTTTCCTTTTTATCTTTTTTTTTTCTTTTCTCTTTCTTTTCTTTTTTTCTTTTTTCCTTGTTTCTTTCCTTTCTTTTCTTCTTCCTTCCTTTTTCTTTTTCTCTTTTTTCTTTCTCTTATTTTTCTCTTTTTCTCTTTCTTTTTCTTTTTTCTTCTTCTTTCCTTCTTTTCTTTTCTTTTTTTCTCTTTTCTTTTCTTTTTCTTTTCTTATTTCTTTTTCCCTTTTTCTTCCTTTCTTTTATTCCTTTTTCTTTCCTTTCTTTTCTTTTTCCTCTTTTCCTCTTTCTCTTTTTTTCTCTCCATATTCCTTTTTTTTCTTTTCTCTTTTCATTTTTATTTTTTTTTTTTAATTTTTTTCTTTTTTCCTCTTTTCTTATTTTTTCTCTTTCTTTTAATTTTCTTTCCTTCATTTTTTTTCTTTTTCCTTTTTTCTTTTTCTTTTTCCTCTTTCTCTTATTTTTTCCTCTTTCTCTTGACCTTTCTTTCCTTTTTTTTTTCCTTTTTTTTTCTTTCCTTTTCTTTTCTTTTTCCTTTTTCCTTTTTTTCTTATTTTTCTTTCTTTTTTCTTTCTTTCCTTCTTTTTCCTTTTCTTTTTTTTTCTCTTTTTCCTCTTTTTTTTTTTTTCTCTTTCTTTTTTTTTTTTCCTTTCCCTTTTCTTCTTTTCTTCCTTTCTTTTTTTCTTTTCTTTCCTTTCTTTTTTTTCTCTTTTTCCTCTTTTTTCTTTCCTTCATTTTTTTCTTTTTCTTTTTTCTTTTTCTTTCTTTCTTTCTCTTCTTTTTTCTCTTTCTTAAAATTTCTTTCTTTCTTTTCCTTTTTTTTCTTTCCTTTTCCTTGTTTCTTTTTCTTTTTTCTCTTTTTCCTTTTCTTATTTTTCTTTTTTATTACTTTTTCCTCTTTCTTTCATTTTCCTTTTTTTCTCTTTCTTTCTTTTCTTTCCATTTTCTTTCTTTATTTTTCTCTTTCTTTCTTTTTTTTTCTTCATTTTTTCTTCTTTCTTTTTCTTCTCTTTTCTTTTTCTTTTTTTCTCTTTCTTTCTTTTCCCTTTTCTTTTCTTTCCTTGTTTTTTTCTTTTTTCTCTTTCTCTTACCTTTTCTTTCCTTATTTTTTTCTTTTCCTTCTTTCCTTTCTTTTTCTCTTTCCTCTTTTTCTTCTTTCCTCTTTCTTTCTTTTTTTTTTCCTCTTTTTAACCTTTCTTTCCTTTTTTCTTTTTTTCTCTTTTCCTCTTTCTTTCCATTTTTTTTCTTTTTTTCCTTTCTTTTTCTTCCTTCATTTTTTTTTCTTCTTTCCTTGTTTCTTTTCTCTTTTTCCTTTTTTCTCTTTTTTTTTCTTTTCTTTCTTTCCTTCTTTCCTTCATTTTTTTCTTTCCTTGTTCTTTTTCTTTTTCCTCTTTCTCTTCTTTTCTTTTTCTTATTCTTTCTTTCCTTCTTTTTTCTTTTCTTTCCTTTTTTCTTTTTTCCTCTTTCTCTTTTTTTTCTTTTCTTCTTTTCCTTCTTTCTTTCTTTTTTCTTTTCTTTTTTTCAAAATTCTCTTTCCTTTTTCTTTTCTTTTTCCTCTTTCTTTATTTTTCTTTCTTTACTCATTTTTTTTCTTTTTCTTCCTCTTTCCTTCCTTTTCCTCTTTTCCTCTTTCTCTTTTTTTTTTTTCTTTCTTTCTCTTTTCCTCTTTCTCTTTCCTTTTTCTTTCTTTCTTTCTCTTCTCTTTTCCTCTTTCTCTTTTTTTCTTTCCTTTCTTATTCCTCTTTCTTTCTTTCTCTTTTTTCTTTTTCTTTCCTTCTTTTTTTCCTCTTTTCCTCTTTCTTTCCTTTTTTCTCTTTCTTCTTTCTTTCTTTCTTTCATTTTTACTTCTTCTTTCCTTGTTTCTTTTCTTTTTTCCTCTTTCTCTTCTTTTCCTCTTTCTCTAACTTTCTTTCTTCTTTCTTTTTACTTTTCTTCTTTTCTTTGTTTCTTTTTCTCTTTTCCTCTTTCTCTTATTTTTTTCTCTTTCTTATTTTCTTTCCTTCATTTTACTTTTTCTTTCCTTTTTTTCTTTTTCTCTTTTCCTTATTTCTCTTTCTTTTTCTCTTTTTTCTTTTTTCTTTCCTTATTCCTTTTTTCTTTCTTCCTTTCTTTCTTTATTCCTTTTTTTTTCTTTCTCTTTTTTTTCTTCTTTCCTTACTTTTTTCTTTTTTTTCTTTTTCTTTCTTTCTTTTTCCTTGTTTCTTTTTCTTTTCCTCTTTCTCTTACCTTTTTTCTTTATTCCTTTCTTTCTTTCTTTCTCTTTCCTTTCTTTCTTTCCTTGTTTCTTTTCTCTTTCTCTCTTTCTTTCCATTTTTTCTTTTTCTTTCTCTGTTTCTTTCCTTCATTTTACTTCTTCTTTCCTTGTTTCTTTTCTCTTTTCCTCTTTCTTTATTTTTTCTCTTTCTTTCTTTTTTCTTTTCTTTCATTTTACTTTTCTTTC